ACAAATATATATATATATATAGACAAAACACTGAGCAGGTTACCAATTTGTCACTCCACCCCAGAATGAGTACGTGGTTCATTTCAATAACTTCACTCTTCCCTTTTCTGAGTGAATCCACCTTCTCTGATATAGCATCTGAAACCAGACCTAACATCATAGCAAATATCAGCATGCCACCTGAACTAATAGAGACAGAGACTATCCTCTGCCCAGTCCCTTCTGTTTCAGCATGATTTCCTGAGTCAGCTACATAAGTCCAAGAATGCCATAGAGCTTCAGCAAAGCTACCACCAGTCACCGCATACAATGCTAAACCACCAAATCCTATAAGAAATAGAGTTGCAAAGAGAAGTGCAAGTAGCTTTGCATAAGGATATATGGAGAAAAATACATCTACCATATAAGCAATTTTCTTCTTTAATGGTACATCCTCCTTGTTATTCTTATTTCTCATGAAGAAATTGATTATTCGAGGAAGGTAGTCAAGATATTTGTACAACAAAAATGGCAAGATGAGTGTGGCCACCACAATGTACAAAGCAACTTTTCTACTGTCGGTGTTGTAGATGTTATAAAATGAAACATCATCTTCTTCTAAAGAGCCCCTTCCATCCTTATGACAAATATCATTTTCACAACATAGGATAATTTTCTCACCCTGCAATTTAAGCAATTGTAGATATGGATAAATAATCTATCCAAGAAAACTAAAATCGGAGACAGCGTTTGATTTTTAAGAAGACAAAACATACCTCCAGTTCTGCAAGCCTATACTGTAGATAAGCTGAATAAGGTACAAAAATAATACAAGTGAAAATGAGCTGCAACAAACAAAAAGTACAAATTATATTTAAGTCCTGACAGTTACCTTATTTCATAAAGTAATAAGAGAAGAAGTGGGAAGCCAAAATTATAGGTTGAGTCAAATATAGTCTCTATCACTTATGCATATTGAACGCAAGCCAATGCTGCAACTAAGGTATTTGAATGAAATCCAGCATGAAGATGATGTGATTATATGAGGAAACATTGCTGACAATTATTTCATTCAAGATCCACAGTAGGAAAGATATCCCGTGCGGATTGTCATGCCCTTTGCACAGGAGTGTCCCCAAGTGATCCATGGTAGCAAAGGTTGTTGTTAACTATTACATGCCAGAGGAGCTTTTCCTTCCAAAATCTAATTGAGAGAAAAAAAGAAGAAGAAGTTTCCAGATACTTTCTCAGCAGAAGCTGGCTAGAGATTCTTTTTAGTTAATGATAAAAGAATAGCTCCTTCTCTTCCTATCCACCCCCGGGGGGGGGGGGGGTAACTCCGTGGGGAACCAAGGGGACAACCCAAAATATATATATATATATATATATATTTCCCCTTCTACCTCCTCTGAAATCAAGAAAAGAATTGAGGTTCTTACTATAGAAGAAACTATGTGTGGGGGTGTGTGTTTTTTCAAGGTTCTCTTACTTAAACGTGATTCCTCTAAACTAAAATGGGCAAACACAACCAAAAAGGAGAAAACAATCCCAAATGCAGACAAATCACTGACCAAATACAATATCGAAGAGTGGTTATTCTGCTGGGGCCTCCTAGAGCTGGAGTGCGCCGGCAAAGTAACTATCGAAGTAGAAGCAGATGAAGAAAAAGTTGAGGATGTAGAATAAGAAGAAGAACTGGCAGGAGGAGCTGGAACAACTGAGCTATTTCCCGCCTTTTTCAGGTTCCCAACCATCTTGGGACCCATCGAATTCGAGAATTCGAGCTTCTGAACCTTGTCGGGTTTGACTGTGGTTCTTTTCCGTCTCGTGGTCCCCAGAAAAGAAGGGTACTTCCATTGCTCATTCGGAAAATCACCATTACCGCTTGCAGGGCTTCCATTCTCAATAGAAACTCCGAGATCGAACCTTCGGTTAGTGGTCGAAGTCGAAGTCGAAGAAGGTATTGAAAGTGTCTTAGGTCTCTTCAATGGTGGCCTCTCTAGCTTGTTATTGTTAAGGCTGACACTCGAATCTTCATTGCCCGCAGGCATTCTTCAGGAGGCGAGAGGGAGGAGAGAGAGGAGAGAGAAGGTTTACTGGGCAGTGATCGTGAACTTCTGCGAATTAAAGAAACATAGCTGAGATCGACAGGATGTTGATGGGATTAAATCAGAGAAGTAAATATTAAATTTAAATAAAATGATGAAATTTTAGAATATACACTCTTCTTCACAGTGCTCACTAAAGTCAAAAATAAAAGTCAAATCTTAAAAGTTAAATTAAAAAATTTAATTAAATAAAAATTAAAGCTTTAAAAATTAAATTTTTTTAAAATAATCAGACTCAAAAACCTAATTCTAATAAATTCTGTAAAAAAAGATTGAGTTTAAATAGCCCTACAAGCCTGGTTATTTTACACACACACATATTTGATTGATAATGATACAATTTATTATTAGTAATGAAAAAAAATTATAGAGATAATTAACATTGAATCTTCACCTACATTTTTAACAATTGAACCTATATTTGAGGTATTTAATATTTTATTTTTAAATGATGATAAGAAATATTTAGATTTACATTGATAAAAATTTTAATTTTCATCTTAAATTTAAAATTTTAAATTTTTATCAAATTTTATGTTAAATTTTATGTGAGATTTTAATTTATTTTATATTAAATTTTAAAATATTTTATTTAAATTAAAATATTCAATTTTTTTTAAAAAGAGGGTTTAAGGACCCGATCCTAAGCTCTTTAAATAAACGTCAAGCTTCAAAATTAGGTTAAATTTTAGGATAATCAGACTTTAGAGTTTGAACTCGAACTTATCCTAATTTTTACCTCTAAAGCTCGTTTTAATTTAGGATGCGAGATGTGAATTGAGAAGAAATAAAGGAAAAGGCTATATAAATAATAATTATTAATTTATTAATAATTATTTTTAGATATGTATATATAATGTATTTAAAGACTGTTAATACCTTTTGCTTTGTGGGAAAAGGTACTAAAATAGAATCTTCCATCTTTAACCTTCTTTAATATTGGATTATTTTTTTTTTTGTATGTAATTAGTATATATGTAGGCACAAAATTCAGATTTAATAGCTGAAGACTTTTCTGGAAAAAATTTAAAAAAAAAAACTGAAAACTTGAACTATTTGTTGGCAGTTCACTTGTTTGGAAATTTGAGATTCAATTAAATTAAATTAAAGAATAAATCTCTTAATTAAAAATTTTCATTAATTTTGAATAAATGTTTAATTCTAAAATTTATGTGGATTTGTTGTAATAAATTTGGAGAGATATGAGTGCAATTTACTCCTTTTAGTTTTAGCCAAATAAATTAACGTAACTTTTAATAATATGGTAAAAAAATAAAAATAAAATCAAAATTGGAAAAATTATATAGAAGAGATAAAAACAAAAAAATTAATATTAATATTATTGAAAGAGATACATCCTAAAACACGTTTACTATTCTTATAATTAACATTATTTATTTATTTTTAGTTCAATTTGATTCCTCTTCTCTACCACTAATTCAAGTTGATTGATGCTAGAAGTGAATATTGAACTAATTTAGTTAATTAATACAATAATCAAAACCAAACAAAAAGTATTTGGATCAACGTCATTGATGGAATTGGTTAAGTGTCTCAAAATTATTATATTTTTTGTGGTATATCTAACACTTGCTACATTGCTAGCTGGCATAAAAGAGCTGTTTATAATTTATCAATATATATATATATATATATATATAAAGAGTCGATCCAAAGGCAGAGATGAAGTTGATGTTCATAGTTTATCAATAATACATCATTTTTATAAATTATATATTTTATATTCCTCGCTCAAAAGTATAAAATATTTTTAATTAAATTTTACTTTTCAATAAAATAGTTACATACGTTTAAACTAATCTGATTTTTTCATATTTACTCATATTAAATAACTTATAATAAATATAAAGTCATTATCAATAAGGATATTTTAAAAAAAAATAATTATTACACTTTAAAAATTAAAAATACATTACATTTTTAAACATATAACTCCTTATATTTTTTAATGAAAAGAATATATACTTATATTATATATATATATATATATTTTTGGTCTATATATTATATATTGCAACATCGATATTATGAATATACACTTATACAGTAACATTATTCCATGTATTTCTTTTCTTTTCTTTTCTTTTTTTGGCAAATTATTCCGCATGTATTCAGTGGTTAAGAATATGAGGTACTTGTGGGCCATTAACGAAGATGACGTGGAAGGTAATGGCGGTAAGGAGTACGGGAGCAGAACGCTGCCCTCTTTCAAATTTCGGTTTTTTCAGTTTGTAGATTTTCCACCCAAAACCCAATTATTGCGATGTGGTTTCCCCAAGGAATTTACATATATTAACCCTTTTCATGGTAACATATATTTTATAACCTGTCTATCTCAAAAATACATTAAAATCACGTTTAAGATGTGTTTTTATCAAATTCAAGATAGTCCAAGTAAACTTTTGTTAGATATAAACTAAAAATCAAACACATGCTGACTCTTGAATATGATTTAAAAAAAATCCAAATGATTCTATTATTTACTATCTAACTAATAATATATCATCAATCAATACTCTACAATAGCATAAAAGCTCAAATGTTTTAAAAAAATTATAAAAACCAAAAAGAAGAACAAATCATTTGGGGAAAAAGAGAATAAAACCAACCATCCCAAAACCAAATAAATCCCTCGTTTTGTAAGATCAATTAAGTCTGATTCGATTTAATTTTGATTGCAAAAAAACAAACAAACAAAGAAGAAGAAGAAGAAGAAGAAGAAGAAGAAGAAATAATCAAATCACTGCCAACACCTTTAACCTTACCCAAAGATCTAGCCTATAACCAAATCTGACACTCTTGTCTAGCCATCCAGCTATGTCAAGCTTCGGATTGCGATTCTCATTTAGTCATTTGTGACTATTAAGTAGATGCTGATGTTCAACATTTGACTGCAAAAGAAATATAAAAGGGAATATAATCTTGTCGCCCAGGAACAATGACTATCATAGGAGCAAAAGAAAAAAAATGTAAATATATTTCAGAATTTCAGATTTTGTTCCACACAAAATCTTATCAAGATGCAGGTATGAATCTCTAGCTAAATTATATCAGTCATGCAAACTACAAAACTGCAATTTTATGAAGGTCGAAGGGCAGATTGGAACCTTCTATGATTCTGAAGGCATGGTCCTGGCAAGAACATGAGATTTAAACGTGAACCGGGAGACTTGAGAGACTTCAAACACTAGGAACCACGGGTCATTTTCATCCTTGGCATGGCCTTTTTCGTCTGACGAGTACGCTCTTTCACTTCTTTCTTCGGATAGCCTCTGCACTGAGCTTCGCCTCAGCCTCTTCCATCATCTTTTTCCTTTCAGCCTTTTTTCTCTGAATGGCTTCTTGCCGGGCATTATGAAGTTCCTTTTGTATTTCTTGAGCAACCTTTAATCGGGCAGCCTCTGTCTTGGACCGAGCCTGCATAACATCAGAGTCAATCATGTACCATATGTTTAAGTGATCATGAAAAACAAGTTGTGTGTGCGTTGTAATCTGATAATTAAGGCGAATCCACCAACCTGAGAACTTAATTTATATCTTCCGATCAAATCAATGTAATAAGGCACAAGAGCCAGCAGTCGTGCTATATCAGCCATGTTGTTAGCACCTGGAAGCACAAACTTGAACACCAACACCTTCCTGTGGATAGCTGGGTGTTGATCAGAGAAATGTATAGAAATGAAACTTTTTCAAATTTCTCGAAAGCTTTGTCACCGAATACCTGTACCATATTGATTAAGTTCAACTTTTTGCCCAAGAAACAAATTTAACTTCGACAAAATAATAACTGCACTGCTGATCGAAGATACATTTTTCTACTTGCAGAAAGGCCCACCAAGAACATTGGGTTCTAGGGGATCAAGGTCTCAATATTTGCAGATTCATTTTGCAAAGTAAATTCTCTACATTCATAGACGCATTCAATCATTTAGAGAGTGCGCAACACAAGTTCACATCGAATCTCTTTAACAATTTTCTCCTTTTACGTTATCACTCTTTATAACCATATTCTCTTTTTCCATGATCCCACTCCAAATAAAGTTCATGAGTGTTCCTCCTTACTTCGATACACATTGACATGCAAACATTCACAATCAATAATCATACCATTCAAACTAAAACTTTTTTTTGTTTGGGGGGGGGGGGAGACTCTGCACTGAATTGAGCATTGAGCAATCAAACAAGTTCAAACTACAACAATCAAAATTCATAAAACATGATGCAAAAAGCAGACCATATGATTTCCTTACTAGTAGTATTCTTAAACAAAATAAGTCCAAACCTGGTCAAGCACCGCCTCGGTAATCAAATCAGCAGCCACTTCTTTTGATTCTGAAATAACAGCCAATTCCTCAGCTACCCACTTTTTCCCATTCGGAGGCGAAAGAAGACTCGCAAACCTCTGCAAATCCCTCTCATCCTTCTGCATAGATTTTGCAGCTTTCTTCTTTGCCATGGCAAACACCACGTGGTCCATAGCATCCTCATTCATGTACGCCTCAAACGTAATCTCGTCCCTAGTGGGCACGATCATGTTGTATATTCTCGATAACAGATCCTGCCTACTCTTCAACTCTATCGTAGCCAACAGCCCCTGGCAATACCTTCTACCGCTGGCGTAGAACTTGAATATCGTTTGCCCTTCTTTCAACAACAATGGAGAGTCATCACCACCTTCCCCAATCCCCACAAGACTAAAATTCTTCTCGAAAATTGAATCCTTGGCAGCGAATTGCGCAGCCCAGGCAAGAGCGATATTCTCGTTCTCGCGCTTCCCATAGAAGTAATTGACGGCAAATATGATCAGAAAACCTCCGCAAACAATCTCAATCCAAAACGAACGCCAACCCTTGACATTCTCAGGCTTCGGAGAAACAGTTGATTCCGAACTATTGCTAATAGGTTTGGCATTTCCCTTAGCAGTAGGAGTGTCCGAAGTGGGTTGCTCAGTCGGTAGGCCTTCGAATTCATCTTCGTCCCAGAAATCAAAGGCTGTCGCAGTAGGCGAGGTCTTGGGAAGATCCGAAGCTGGGGACTGAACATCGGAGCGAAAATTCGGGATGGATCCGGGTCAGGAGTTTCGGGATTAGGAGGGGTGAGTTTGGTGGTGTGAGATTGCGTTAACGGGAGGTGATAGGAGAGAAGTGGGATCGATAGGTTGGTCGTCGGAGCCACCTTCG